GTTATGTCTACGCGAAAATGCTTCAAAGAATAATTCTGTCTCAACAGAGAGTAATATGTGGGCAACAAAGAGTCTTCTAACTGAAGAATATATTCCCCACGGATATTTTTTACCAGAAAAAAAAGAAAAAATGAGATTAGCCTAGAACTGTGAAATTTTGATGTTTTTGATTTGATGTTTATATGATAAACCATGTTGGTTTTATACTTCAAAATAGAAAAAAATAGGCCAAGATTTGGAACAATCGTCCATCGCAGTTTTAACACCGATCGCACATAACTAATATCCTCCTGAGTTTAGAACTACGGATCCGTCTCAATAAGTAGTTAGCAGTCAGATAGTAAAATAAGACCCAGAGACTGCAGAAATAGTCAATTAATCGTTGAAATCACCAAATATTTCCCAATAATCGTTCCATCCTATCGACATCCACTTACGACTAGTAATAAAAAGCAGATTGTAAGAATGATGATGATGGTACGATTTGGTCTGGAAGTAAGATGACATTAAGGAGGTGTTCTAATTAAGTACTGGCCAAAGTTGATGACCTAAAATCACCGTCTATAATTACCAACAACGTCGACTCTTAAGACTCTTTTCATCCTACTTCACAAGACATTTTCTTCTTCATTATATATTTATTAAGGTGCTATTGTATTTTACCCTATCTCATCAAACTTTCATTTATTTTCATTCTTGTTCGCTAAATATTCGCGATACGCTACTGATATGTGCTGAATACAAACACGAAATCACTGCTTGACTTTTGACCGAAATATTGTCTTATGTTATATATTATTCTGCATAGGATGTTATCACCTCTATCGCAACAGTGACGTTTCTAAGAAACACCGGGTGAGCGGGCCGGGTAAAAAAATTCACACTGATTGGTATTTCAGTGGGAAATCCCTGCCTTCCTAGAAACACCTGCCCTGATCATGAAATGTCATAGACCTTTATGGTGCTCCACTTTTGTCTTGATAATGATCATGATAACTTAATTGCTCGGCTTTACACCTGGCTTATCTTTGAAACATATTGTTGATGATTTTAATCAGCTATGTAGAATTTCAATATGAATATGATTCTGCGTCATTAATTTTGTCGACCATAAATAGTGTAATCTAAAGCAGGGGTTGATTAATAAAACCCAAGAGAACACCTGCGATAACAAATAATTGATTTATTAATAATTCTATCTCATCAAATTTTAAATACTTATTATGAGACACCCACGTCTTGTATAATGTTTCGTCAATTCAAATACACGAAATTACGGGTCTGACGTCTTTTCGCTCGCTGAGCTCAACATTTGCAGATAGGGTTACTGACCTTCGAAATGAATAACAACAACTGCCTATTTTTCGCGTGAGAATTGCGATTACCATTTTTGTAACAGCGTACAAAAAGGCAATACTTCCAATACCCAAGCTACAGATCTATGGAAGGCGGAATGGCTTTTTATTCGATGTTCTTCATTGCTAGTATTTCTTAATTATTAATTCTAAATTTTTATCTCTTAATTTGCACGCTTATTTCAACATTTATCATTGAAAATTGACATTTGTATACAAAAATCATAATTTGGACTGAAAATGAACATTCTTCGATGAACATTCGGTTTTCTGATTATTGAATTAATAGAATTCTTGCCAAAAATATCCTCAAATACAAATCTACAAATACAAATCTAGCTCAAAATATTTTCAAATGCAAAATGTCAATAAAGAAATAGCAATGAAGAACATTGAATAAAAAGCCATTCCGCCTTCCATAGATCCGTACCATGGAATGTATATATTTAAAATATTTTTCATTTTATAATACTCCTGATATATAAACACATGTTTGAAAACCAGAAATCACCAACCTCAAAATCTATTGGGAGCTGTGACCTTAAAAGGATGATTATGAAAAATATGTGTGGGGTATTTTTGTGATTTAACATATAAACGTTTAAACTCTTATGTCACTCAAAAAAAAAACAGTGCATACTTTTGTTGCAGTTAAGCAGGCCTCCAAGGATATGAAAATAAATTATCAGATTGTTAAGGTATTAGTTTTGTAATACAATGGCAAGAGTATGTATTTTTTATAAAAATCCCCAAGGATATGTTGCATTTCTTTATGGAGGTACAAAAATGTCGTAGCTTCTTCGTTACTTGTGAGATTTACATAAATAACGGAACTGTAGTTGGTAATGTAAAACCGAATCTGTGTGAACAATAACAAAACTGTAGTTGGTAATGTAAAACTGAATCTGAGCCATAACGAAACTGTAGTTATTAATGTAAAACTGAATCTGTGTGGATCCTAACAAAACTGTACTTGATAACGTAAAACTGAATCTGTGTGGGCCTTAACAAAAGAAAGTGTTTGTTAGTAACGTAAAATTAAATCTAGTTTAGCCTTAAAAGAGTTCGTAGGTAACGTAAAACTGAAACTGTTTGAGCCTTAACAAAATTGTAGTTAGTAATGTAAAACTGAATCTGTCTGAGCCTAAACGTGTTTGTTGGTAATGTACGACCGAATCTGTTTGAGCCTTAAGAAAACTGAAGTTAGTAATGTAAAACTGAATCTGTGTGGGCCCTTAACAAAAGAAAATGTTTGTTAGTAATGTAAAACTGAATCTGTTTGAGCCGTAACAAAGTGTTCTTTGGTAACGGCAAATTAGAAGCTGTGTATTTGTACCCCCTGTATTGAGAGGCTGGCACCGCCGCTAAAAACTGGCAACGCTGAATCTGTGTGAGCCTAACTTACGTGGGCCTAATAATTTGACACACCGTATGTATCGTTCTTTTGTAACTTCATGTATGTGTGCCAAACCTTGGAATGTGTGTGACAAAACCTTTTACTTTAACTGCGTTAAAACAACGATGTGCTTTCGTAATTTGATCTACATGTGCTTAAACGGTACCATACTTTTGTAAGTGTGTAACTGTTGTTGTCAAAACAATATTATACTTTTGTAGCTGTATGAGCCATAAAAGGGTTACGTAACTGAAACTGTATGCTGCCCACGATCGAATACTTAATTTGTAGGTCTAGACTATCAGAAGGTCAACAAACCAAGCCATAATATAAGTTTATAGTGGAAAATTATACGTTACTTGCGAGGTAAAAGAGCAGATACAACTAATAATTTGTAATTGTCACCCTACTGAAGGAAAGTTAGTAGTTTTTCCTAATCTTCAGACATTGAAATATCATATTTATTTTGCTGTTATCGCAGGTTACTTGTGCCGCTATTTTAGTGGAACAACAGTTGTGTTATTCGTTTTGATCAGTAATTGTAAAGGTAAAGGCATTTATAATTCATTATGATACCCTAACCATTGATATCAATGAACAGATTAAAATTGTCATCGTTATAATCATCATCATCATCATCATCATTCAGCAAAGTCTGAACCGATCACTAACATTTTATTAATTTGAACATTTAATCTTCGAACCACCAATATCTTTAGCGAATATTTAGTTAACATCACCGTTAATATAGAGCAACATGTAGTAGTAGCATCTGAATATATATATCGTCTTTATTAGAACTACAACACTTTTGCTGATCACCTACAAAATTGAGTAAAATCAGGGTTAAATTTGCCAGCCAATCACTTATATATTTGACAGAGGAATATTTAGCGAAAGTAATATTTAGACGGAAATCAGCAAGTGATGTAAATAAATGGATGAATGTTGGATGATGTATTTCTCTAGACAGATGTAGTTGACAGATTAATGATTTAATTATGATGTTTAAATTCTTTAAATAAATATAAATAATGATAAAATTATACACGGAATAGATTTACAATTGATTACTGATAATTTGTCGTAGAATCCAAGTTTGAACATCATAAAACAGAACATCATAAATAACGTAACGTTATATCGACATCGAATTTTTACGGTCAACTATGCTGATGATTCAAAAAAGTCGGTCAGTACTTATATTTGCACAAACATTTTACATTTTTACATTTTATACCCATAAAACTGGTCGGTTTTGAATACAGTGAGGTGAACCTTTGGTAAATCAAGTTAGTCCAAATCTAATACTGCTACTACATGACTTACTTGATTTTTAAATGGTCGCCAAAATGTACAGGTGTCGCGTTACTTGACCAAGACTTGTAATTTATAATTTTTATACAAAAAGGACATTGACATTAGCACACCATTGACGACTGCTATCATTTTATAGTCTACTATATTAGATACATACACTTTTCATTTTGTATGTTGATAGCATTGAGTGAAAATATATTTGGGCAATAGTTCGCAAAGTTACGACACAAACCACATTCGCTCCCTTGTTGCTCTTTTTTGAACACCATACTTGGGTGCATTCCCGTAGACGATCTACTGTTGTTCTAAAGTACAGGCAAAGCACTCTTTGTTGTCTTATCTACCACTAGCAATCGAGCAAGTAAGATAGCCCATGCCCTTTATGAGAGTCTGCTAGAAAAATCACTCATGTCTGTAAACAAAATATGATTGTCGTGTATTCAAATTTCCAGAACCTTGTTCATAGCAAACGAAAGCAAATAAGTGTATAACAAACCATTGGGCGAGTTATCAGATCATAATATTAGAAGAAACTCCAGACCGCCTGTTTCCATTGCTAAATGAAGTATGTGTTCCTTCCCAAGCCTGTACATTAGGAGAAACAATCCCATCGTTCCCCAAAAACAATATATTGTGACTGTATGCGGTCCAATAAGTATCTAAAAGGATAACAGAAAAATTGGACAAATATTAGGCCATACCAAAATAATTTTCTGTTCTTCGGGATTTCTTGAAAAAAAAAGGTACGAGCGAACGAAATTTTTTTTTTAATTTTAAAAAAAAAATGTCTAAAAGTTAGTAATCATTGATTTGGTTGGTGCGATATAATATTTTTTAATTTTAAAAAAAAGTCCCTTCGTACCATTAGAATTTTCCAGCATGGATGATTTTGAATGTATTCAGATAAAATAACAATTAATAGTATTTATTTATGGTGTAAAGGCTTCAAAACATTTTGGTATGGCACAACTAGCTGTTTTAAATTTGTCATGGTGAGTATCGACATACCACAAAAAATTTGTAATCTTCCACAAAATTCCTTTTGCACAGATTAACTGGTCTTTTGACCAGCCATCATCAATTGTTTTGCACCAATCTAGCACATCACAATATAGTTTTTGAGGTCCAGTTAAGGTTTTGTCAAAGACTGGTGGTGTAGGTTTTTCAGGAAACATTAATGTCTTTCTTGATGCCATCATAAAATCGAACACATTTTTATCACTTTTGCAAGTATTACAAACAGGTTCTTCAGACGAAGAATGAGAAGGCAAGTTAATTAAAAAGTCCACAAACTTGGATTTCAGTTCATCACACAGAGAAATTTTCAACGAAAGTGTAACCAAGACACCGCATGATTTTTCCATATTGTCCTTGATGTACACTTTTTCTGGGATCTGTGATATGCACGATTGAATTCCTGCAGATGCCAGATCATAAACATCTTTAAAATTGTTTTCAGGCTCAACATCAAACGCCATGTATGGCAAAATAAGTTCCTGGTGTGACCTAATTTTGATTACTAAAATCATTTTGGTAAAAAAGACAAATACAAATATTAACTCTAGCACTGCATCGGCCATGCCTATTTCTGATAATTATCAACTTCCGGAATTTCGATGCGTTCGGTCGTCGAGAAAACGTTCTTGCTTCAGCGAAGAGCCTAAACTACTGTACGAACTCACTCTTTCAACAGCTGGAACATGTTCTACTATAATTGTCGCACGATGTCCACAAACTGACAAACGGAAATAGAGGGCGCAATTTGTTACTCCCGCTACCAAATTTTAGGCTTAGAGAAATAAAAATGAAATTAAAAATGAGAGCTAAACAATCATGTTATCTTATCAATTTAGAGGTACGGACATACGGGCAATATAATTTTTTTTTTAAAATTAAAAATTCTTTTTTCAAAATTTTACATACGGGAGCTCTTTTGATACATACGGAATATTATTTTTAATTTTAAAAATAAAATTTCGATAACGGAAAATCGGGTACGGAATTCCCGACGAACAGAATATTATTTTGGTATGGCCTTAGTATTAAAAGATATTGGAGATTATTGTGGCCAGCTGGTAGTAATTACAATAATAATTATTAAAACAATAAGTTTTCATAAATCATATAGACAACACATTTATTATTTCCATGTTAATTTTCACTTTATATTCAGATTCTATACACAGAATCTATTTCATGTAAATCTAATCAGTGATTGAAATGGTGTTTATAAGAGAAATAAACCTTTCATTATTCTCTTTCTTTTATTCTAGAACTTATTTTATCTACCTGACGTATTTTCAGAATTAATAGCTTAAGTTTATTATCTGATGTTTGGAATCAAATTTCATTGAGGTCACATCCTTGGTTGTAGAAGTGCGATTGGAAGAAATTATAATATTTTCATTTTAGGACTTACACTGAATGAAAAACAAAATTAGTTAAAAGGAATGATTAGTGGGCGTACACAAGCACCAAGTAGTACCCATTTAATAAACAAAACTGTTCGTTTCCGTTTTAAGTTCAACAAATATTGATTGGGATAAGTTTATAAGTATCAGTGTTTTACTTCATATTTTATTAAAAGGACCATTAACTTTTTTCCTAAGTTAATTGAATGTATCATTAAAATTTACTTTTTTTTAAACTTTTCAGTTCGTGATTCAATGATTGAAAAGATTATTGTGTATAAATTGGTAAGTTATTTGTAATTTTCTATAAATACCAACAAATAACTCAATACATCAAGCGTTATTAGCAGTGGTATGCTTGCTAAAATGACAAATTACATCACTCATTGCAAGCTTATTACGGCGTGCAGCTCCCATCATTGGAAAAATCTAAAAATCACGTTTAAAAAGGTAAGCTTAATAAGTTGAATTGTCCCTTATTCCCAAAACGTAAAGTCCTCTTCAAGACCTGAAAACATTTCTAAACGGAACATATGATTTTGTAACTAACACATTGTTAGGTGCTATTTTATTCTTGACTGATTATGTTATAAATATTCTTGTAGCAACAACTCTTCGTTAGTTTTTTTTATCAGAGCATCACCCTCTAAAGGACTCTTTTGTAACTGTATAAAATATTGTAAGGTGCTAGTTTTAATTTTGAAGCATCACTTTTGTAACGACCATGATCAAAATCGTATTGACTTAAGGCATGACAATTAATGCGAAACGAGATCCATTTGCCGCTGTAAAAGTCGTCTTAATCCGTCTCAAGATGCAATAGAACCACACAAACTCATTTTATTTAACGCATAAAACTCAACGCGGGAAGATGGTCAATTAGGATAAGAAATTTTTCGCTGATAAAATAGTCATCATTTACAGTTAACTTGCAGTCATACAGAACGTCAATTGAAGCCCCAGATTTCGTTTAAATCCTATATTTAGTTCTCTATCTACTTTTTTTTCAAAGGCTTCGAGATCAGATTCCAGTGAAACCTTACAAACCATTTGGTGAATTTAGTCATTCTTTTGTGTTGAAATTTAGAATTATATCAGTTAAAACCATAAAAAAAGAAATGCGAATTAGTAATTTTACAAATTAATCTGATTAACCAGTTTCGATAACTTCAGATTTTTTATTTGAGATGACGATTAGACAAAAAAAAACTGATCTGAAAAAGCGTCAAGTCGTCAAGTAAACTCTGATTTCCAATTCCCTTAACTGGTCTGAAAGATTTTACCTTTTCAATGTTTACTAAGTAATTATAGGTTTTCAATATCAAGAGTGGTCTGGTATCCGTTCTATATAATTATCCCACTATAGATATTAATACCGTACTCTCCCGTATAATTTAAACCACACCTATTAATATTGACCCAGTTGTTGCCAATTTCCGGATATGTTTTAACCTGGTTGGTTTCAGAGATTGAAACATATTTTAAGGACATTATCATTGATTTATTGTTGTAAATACTGTTCTGGTCTGCTTCAGCGTTTCCTGTAGCATAATAAATTAATTGACCCAATTGATCAAATGCTGAAATGATTCTGGTGGGATGAAAGCCATAAAAGACCAATCCGCGCAAGAGTTCGGTATGTAATTGAAAGCAGATTTGGATAAGCTATCGCACTTTATGTTATGCTATAAAATGATATACTTCCAATACTTAAAAAATCCTAGATCAATCCACAGCAATATCCTGGTGACACTTATCAACACGGTCCAATCTACGCGGCATTAGGCTTTCAACACCATAACAATGTTTTGGCCCAAAGACTACTGTCTCGTTTCCTTCTGATTTGGAAGGCATTGGTAGCTGCAACAAGTCTAACTACTATACTATTCTGGATCTCCCGATTTGTCATGGTATGGACAAGATTTTTGGTTACTTGTATATACTTTTTTTTGATTACGTTTTGCTTGATTTATTATTATTAGGTGTTTCAGAACGGACGATATCAATATCTTCGTATAACAGATGTCATTGATATTACGGCGTAATAGGTGATAAGACTCTATAAAGGCTTTTGATATGACGATTACAATCAGAAACCAACCAGTTACCTATAGTACTGGAAAACTGGAATTTTAAAACTCAACATGGTTTTTAATACGTAGCTCATAAGCCTTTGATTTCACATTGAATAGCAGAATAAAAACTTTTGACGAAGTCAATAAAATTTTCTAATAATGTCGTTAAATGGCAATTAACAGGACAGATTCGTGGAACTACAATCACTGGATAAAATTTTATGCAACCTTTCGGCGTATTTCTTTCGCCGTCCTCAGGCACAATATTGTGCATAAACAACGTTGCATAAAACTTTACCAGTTACCATTGTTCCATTACATTGTGTCTATATCTATTCCATGTTTCACATAACTAGTATAGAGATGTTCAAAGGCAATGTAATTGGAGTCGGGCGGCCACTGAAGATATTTAAGATGGAGAAATAAAGCAGATAGCTGGTATAAAATACGATAATAAAGGCGATATGTGATTTAAACGCCGTATTTCAAATAAACAATGTTTTCGAACTTAGTTTATTTTGGACAAGTCTTGTAAACTATCTCATTGATGATATTTCTCCAGTTTACTTTTATCTTTTTCTTCTTCTTAATTCCCTTGTCAAAGTTTCAAGTCGTAAATTTATACAACATGATAGGCAAATCTGTTTTATTAAAAGGCTAGAAAGTAAATCATGCATTTTTATTGATCCGTAATCTCATAAACTGTGGAAATTTTCTTTGCATAATCGGATAAGCTGAACTTTAGAGCTGTAAAAAAGCGAGAAAATTGGATAACATTAACAATCTTTAAGAGTTTCTATTTAAAAAATGTTTTAAAAATAAGAAGCAAAGACTGGTATTACAGATCGTATTTATCTTGAGGTTTTTGTTTCTTCTATTAATTTCTTAATTCAAGATATGATATAAATCATCGAAAGTTTTTATTCTGGTTTACAAAATGTGTCGAGAAAATGTTGATTATTATATATCTTAAACGACGCGTTCAGCAAAGTTCACAGAAACACATGACAGTAGAATACACCAATAAAGAATATCCATGGCCTTTTGGATAGCCAGTGACATTTGTTAATGAAAATACAACGTCCCTAGAAAATATTTGTTCTCTCGCACTTTATAATCTTCTTCTGTTTAGTAGCTCAATTTCTGAATTTTATCTTGGCTAATATTACTAATTTGTAATAATTGGCATAATAATGTCAGTTGACATCAATAATGTGACATCATTATAACATTATCGTTGAATCACGTGCAATATATTCTGACACGTGAAAAAACAGATGACATAAGAGATAACAAACAGCTACATGATAAATTAACAAAAACGTGAAATTTATCATTTCATTTAATTTGTGGATTTATCTAGTGCCTCGTTAAAGGAATAAGAATCTTTTCATTATTTATATCAACACTGAATTATGCATTTCATTGAGTGAATGTTATTTTTTCGAAATTATTTAACCAAAATACAAACAAACTGCATTAATTGACAGTTTAAACTATTAATTAATTTATTTGTTTTTTTAAATAAACCTATTTATTTAAATGAATGTAGATATACTTAAGTAAAGTAAGTGTGTGCTGTAAGATAGAAAACAGATGCCTCTTATTTACACTTCTACATATTTCATGAATAGCATATTTTTTATTCCTTACATATTCTTTCTTCAAATTCTTCTTATCAGCTAGTACAGGTTTGAGTATGTTTATAGAAAACAAGGCGTCTACGGAGTATTTAACACCCCTATTCTCTTTTAAATATTTAGATGTTGGAACAATTGCACCATAGAAAGTAACCAGAGCGCAATGTGACTAGTCTATATTATGGTTCTAACGATTAAAGGAATTTCAGGCGTTGAAAAAGATATTGACTTGGTGCAAAGTGAGGCTACATTTAAAGAAGGAAGGTTAGAAAACGTTACGACCATATACAGATTAAATTATGGATTATACGTCGTTTCAATTTATTATCATTGTATTTTACGATTGTAACCG